TAGATAGATAGATAGATAGGCAGGCAGGCAGGCAGGCAGGCAGGCAGATAGATAGGAATGATAAAGTAGATAGAATTAGATAGATAGATAGATAGATAGATAGATAGATAGATAGATAGATAGATAGATAGATAGATAGATAGATAGATAGACAGACAGACAGACAGACAGATAGACAGACAGATAGGCAGGCAGGCAGGCAGGCAGGCAGGCAGGCAGGCAGACAGACAGACAGATAGATAGGAATGATAAAGTAGATAGAATCAGGTAGGTAGGTAGGTAGGCAGGCAGGCAGGCAGGCAGATGGGTGGGTGGGGGTCTGTAGTCCACCCTCTCTTTGTAACGGAGAAAATCTCCAATCAGGAGCACGATGTTACAACTTATCAACCTTCCTTCTAAAAACTGCCCCTCGTGAGACAGGCACAAGTGACCGATCGGACTGCGGTGGACTCACTATCTCTGGATCCGGGTGAGGAGAGCAGAGAGGACGGCTTGCACTTCAACCGTGGTGCAGGTACAAACCACGGGTTTCTTCTGATCCTGGAGGAGATCAGCCACATACTAGAAACAAAAGCAAGGATGCCGTCAGGCCAGAGGTTTTGTGACCCAACTAGGGAACCTCTGTATGCGGGCACGGACTGTCTGCACACAGCAACAGCCTTCCAGGCCTTCGCATTTGAGAAGCGGAATTGGGTTTCGGCAAGGCCGTGAAATAATAATTTGCCAAAACGATGGTCAGCTTTTGCTGGCTGAGATACAGGGAGAACTGGGAGCTTACCTGGCCTTGCCAGTCCACGGCATTCACCAGGATCACATTTTCAGGCAGTGCAGCATCCGACACGAGGATCTGATTCAACTGGTCGTAAACGACCTTGCGAGGAATCTAGTGGAGAAAAGCAGACAGGTGTTGAAGGGCTGCCAGCCTTTTGGGGGTAGTCCAGGTAAGCAGCACAACTAGGAGTACCACCTGTGACTTTCTTGTAAGATTTTCACGAAATCTTCATCAAACGGGGATCCCTGAAGGTCGTTTTAAGTTGCTGTCTGAATGCTTCTGAAGCATAGCCAGTCAAGAAAAGCTGATCCAGAGGATACTCTCTTAAGCCAAGTCAATTCAGCTCAATGAAAGGCAATGCAACTCAACTCAACAAGTCAACTCAGCTCAATACAAGGCAAGTTAAGCCAACTGAATTCAATATATCTCAATTCAATGAAAGGCAAGTTAACTCAACTCAACAAGTCAACTCAACAAGTCAACTCAGCCTAACTCAACAAGTCAACTCAGCTCAATGCAAGGCAAGTTAAGCCAACTCAATTCAACTCAACAAAGACCAAGTCAGCTCAACTCAATACAAGGCAAGTTAAGCCAACTCAATTCAATACAACTCAATTCAACTCAACAAGTCAGCTCAACTCAACTCAACAAGTCAACTCAACTCAACAAGTCAACTCAGCTCAATGCAAGGCGAGTTAAGCCAACTCAATACAACTGAACTCAACTCAAGGAAAGCCAAGGCAACTAAACTCAACTAGTCAACTCAACTCAATGCAAGGCAAGTTAAGCCAACTCAACTCAACTCAATTCAATGAAAAGCAACTTAATTCAACAAGTCAACTCAATTCAAATGAACTCAACAAGTTAACTCAATGCAAGGCAAGCAAGCTAAGATAACTCAACTCAACTCAATGAAAGGCACGTCAGCTCAACTGAATGAGTTAACTCAACTCAATGCAAGGAAATCTAAGCCAAGTCAACCAAACTCAATAAAAGGCAAGTCAACTCAACAAGTCAACTCAAGTCAACACAAGGCAAACTAAGCCAACTCAACTCATGAAAGGCACTACCCAATTCCAGACCCACTCATCAGATTCAGAAGAATATTTCCTCATTCTAATGTGAAACCAGGGGCGTACAGTCCACCAGAGCATATTCCCCACCCCTTTCTTACTCCAACTGAAAACTGCTTCAAAAGGGGAACTTAATTCTGTTCCTACCATCATCATCCTTTCTCCCAAAATCCGCCAAAGTGGGACTGAATCACGGTAGGGGCGGGCGTCGTAGTCGTAGCTCACCTGCGTACTGTGACATAAATCCGGGGACCTTTCGCTGTCAGAGCTGTTGGTCCTTTCACTCAGCGGCTTGGAAAGTTGACGTTCCTTGAGCGGAGTGCTGCGTTTCTGACGCGGGGTGTGCCCGGCGCTGTCCATTTTGCTGTCACCGACAGAAGAAACAACGTTTGTGAATAAATTCCATTTTTAAATCGTTTTTTTTTCTCAGATTTTAGTAATGATTGGCAATATGGAACTCTGCACTTCGATATGGCCCTGGGAAGCGGGGACGATGAGTAATTTATCAAGTCAACTCCACTAACCTAGGTGAGGCCATGCTTTGAAGATCCCCCTTGTTCGTTTTCATCGGCGTCTTGACTTTTTCGGGGATAATTAAGGTGTTGGATAGGTCCCCGTAAGCTTCCTGCTCGTTCCCTTCCTAGAGAGACAGGGAAAAGACACTTTTAGCACCGATTTCCTTCCGCCCAAGATTTCCTCCCCTCCCAAGAAAACCAGAGAGAATCTGCCACTTCCTAAGCGCCTACCAGGATGTCCGTTTCGTTGATGTTGTCATCGATGTTTTTGGTCCGATTCTGTTTGAGTTTGTCCCCGGAGGAGGCTTCGATCTGGATCGGTCGTGGAGGAGAGAAAAAGGGTATCTATATATATAAAAGCGAAAGACCACTCATGCATCATCATTGTCGTCACAAAATCTCCAGGACTGTAAAGCCTACAAACTTGAAATCGGGCACGTAGGTTCCTCTTGGCTTCTAGGTGCCCGCTAAGAAAGGATTTTTCCAAATGACCATCAGAGTATTTAGAGTATTTCCTATATTATTATTATTATTATTATTATTATTATTATTATTATTATTATTATTAACACGCTCTGATGCTAAGGAGTTCTACTCCCCCTCCCCACCAGGAAAGAAATCTCTTCCAAATGCAAAACACAAGCAGAGGAGTTTCAGTTTTAGTTTCACAGCAGCCACCAGCTTCAGTACAGAACAGTTGAGCTAAGCCACGCCCAGGCTCCTGGCTGTCTCCTTCTTGCTCACATAGCAAATGCGGTTTCAGTTTCCAAACAGCCCTCAACTCTCTCACTCCCCACCTGGAAAGAAATCTCTTCCAAATACAAAACACAAGCAGAGGAGTTTCTGTTTCAGAGCCCCAAGCAGCTTTAGGACAGAACGGTTGAGCTAAGCCACTGCCCAGGCTCCTTGCTGTCTCCTTCTTGCTCACACAGCAAATATTCTTTCAGTTTCCAAACAGCCCTCAACTCTCTCACACACCGACAGGACACTAGCCAGATGAATCCCGATGGATGCTGTAATTTCTAAAGCTCTTTTCCAGTTTTATTCCTCTGCGGGCTGGCTTACCGGGCTGGTGGCATCCTTGCCAAGGCTTCCTTTACTGTTCAGGCTTCCAATTTCTGTCTGGGAACTGGACTGGGACATTCCTTCAAAGAAAGGCCTGGGAAACAGAGCAAAAATTGGGATGAAACGGCTGCCCAAAAAAATGGGGCCCCAAATTTTCCCAAGAACGGGAGAGGGTTTCCCAAGGAAAAGTGAGAAATTTCCCTGGAAATAGCCATAGCTCTTAAACTTATATGCCATAGCTCTTAGACTTATATTCGCTGTGCTTTACAGCCTGCTCTAAGCGGTTTACTCAGTCAGCGTCTTGTCCCCAACAATCTGGGTCCACATTTTACCGACCTGGAGCCTGGTGAGATTTGAAGTGCCAAACTGTGGTCAGTCGGCAGTCAGAAGTAGCAGAATTATCTATATCTGTCTGTTTGTCTATCTGTCTATCTATCTATCTATCTATCTATCTATCTATCTATCTATCTATCT